ATGTCGAATTTGCTTTCTTTCCTCCCTTTTTTTTTGTTTTGTCCCAATACACACAAAGGGAATAAACATGTGTATAGCAAAACATGTGTTAATGCAATACGTTTCGTGAGAAATACATGATTTCCTGGAGAAATATCAAGGGTGCCAACAATTTCGGCCATGACTGTATGGCCTGCATTAGCCTAGAGAAATTATATCAATGTCATTTCTCATGCTCCTGGCATCTGGGCAATGGTGCTTTTATTGTAAAAATTACCCAAGAAACAAAGGGTTCAAGGTCAACACATTCCATAGGCATTACAATATCTCACACATATACCAATGATGCTTTTTTATGCTTTTCAGAAATATGTGCAGCTACTTACTAAATTGTGTTTCTTTAACAGTGAGGTGCTGTATGAAGATGAGAGTTTCAGAAGCAGGCAGTTTGCTGCCCTGGTTGCATCCAAAGTATTCTATCACCTTGGGGCTTTTGAAGAATCCCTTAACTATGCTCTGGGTGCTGGAGATCTGTTCAATGTGAATGACAATTCTGAGTATGTGGAGACTATTATAGGTAAGTTAAAATGTCATATTTGTCCCATTATAAAATACGGTAGTTATTAAGTACCCAAACATATGAAAGGTATGTAGTCTGTCATTTTTGATGGGCTTTCCTCCTTCATGTTTAGACTTTGTTTTATCCTCTTAGTTGAAATATCACCTCAAGCACCTGCTCTTCAATAATACAACTATTTTAGTGTTTGTGTGGTTCAGCCTTGCTTGAATAGTTGTGTTTTATTCTGTTGAAAACAGTGGTCTCCAAACTGTGGTTTGCAGGACACTTTGGGCCCGTTGCTTGCCTATATCTTGCCCTCAGGGCACTATTCATAACACTGATGCGAAGCACTATTCCTCTCACAGACACCAATGATTAGACGTCATTTCTTCCACTGACGCCAACAGTGGAGTATAATTCCTCCGACTGATACCAGCGATGGGGAACTTTTCCTTACATTTGATATAAACGATGGAACACTATTCCTCCCACTGATACCAATGATGGGATAGTATTTCTTCCATTGACACGATTGAATGGCCATTATTCCTTCAACCAATACCAACAATGGGGCCATATTCCCCATTCTACTGACCACAGGCGCTTTTTTTTTTTTTTTTTTTTTTTTTTTTCTTTTTCTTTTTTTTTTCTTTTGCTATACCACATCAGTTTCTGCCCCTTTAAAAGAAACCTATATTAAGGTGGACGGAAAGGCTTGCTTTCAGAGATCTTTCTTCTATCATGACCCCACTAACAATACAGTGTTCTGTTTAAAAGCTTTGCAGTCACGTGACAGGAGCAGTTTCAATGCAAATAAGATAGAAAAAAAAACTTTTGAAGAGAATGTAAATCCAACATTTCATATTACTGATATGTGTCTGCTGTACCATGTACTTGTATGAAGAAATTTTCTGTTCTTTGTATTATTTCCTTTGTGTGAAATCCCTGGTGTTCCTGAGAATCCCTATGCTTTCCTATAAAAATACTGACCACATTAGGCAGGTGAACACTCCTTGGTCAGTTCTGTGCTGCAGTTATCTGACTTGTTCTGACATTCTTCTCTTGCACAGCCTTTTACTGAGAAGTTCAGTGGGCTGTTCCCCCCCCCCTCCCCCCAGCTCTTATACAGCTGAGAACAGAGGGTATGTGGTCACTTTAAAGAAAACACAATAGAAACACTTTTTTACAACTTTTTTTTTTAGTTTGCTTTGTTTAAGAAAAAAAACCACACGCACACACACTTGAACACCCTGTGATTTTGCAAGTTCTCCCACTTAGAAATCATGGAGGGGTCTGAAATTCATATTGTAGGTGCATTCCCACTCTGAGAGACAGAATTTAAAAAACAATTCAGGAAATCACATTGTATGATTTTTAAAGAATTTCTTTGTCTTGCACTGCTGAACATAAGTATTTGAACACCTGAGAAAATCAGTGTTAATATCTAGTACAGAAGCCTTTGTTTGCAATTACAGAGGTCAAGCGTTTCCTGTAGTTCTTGACCAGGTTTGCACACACCGCAACAGGGATTTTGGCCCACTCTTCCACACAGATCTCCTCTAGATCTGTCAGGTTTTGGGGCTGTCGCTGAGCAACACAGAGTTTCAGCTCCCTCCAAAGATGTTCTATTGGATTTAGGTTTGGAGACTGGCTAGGCCACTCCGGAACCTTGATATGCTTCTTACGGAGCCACTCCTTGGTTATCCTGGCTGTGTGCTTCGGGTCGTTGTCATGTTGGAAGACCCAGCCACGACCCATCTTCAATGCTCTGACTGAGGGAAGGAGGTTGTTGCTCAAAATCTCACAGTAAATGGCCCCATTCATCCTCTCCTTAATACAGTGCAGTCGTCCTTTCCCCTTCGCAGAAAAGCACCCCCAAAGCATGATGTTACCACCCCCATGCTTCACAGTAGGGTTGGTGTTCTTGGTATGCAACTCATCCTTTTTTTTTCCCTCCAAACAACACGACGAGTGAAGTTTTAGACCAAAAAGTTTTACTTTCGTCTCATCTGACCACATGACTTTCTCCCATGCCTCCTCTGGATCATCCAGATGGTCATTGGCAAACTTCAGACGGGCCTGGACATGTGATGACTTGAGCAGGGGAACCTTCCGTGCAATGCATGATTTGAAACCGTGACGGCGTAGTGTTCTACCGACAGTGACCTCTGAAACTGTGGCCCCAGCTCTCTTCATGTCATTGACCAGAAGCTCCCTTGTAGTTCTGGGCTGATTCCTCACCTTTCTTATCAGTGATACCCCACGAGGTGAGATCTTGCATGGAGCCCCAGCCTGAGGGAGACTGACAGTCGTCTTTAGTCTGTTGTTTCTAATCTAGACAACTGGCAATTAAGATAATGCATAATATAAACATTTTATTTATTACGCACACTAAGCAAAGGCTTAGTTTTTTTGGAATTCTACTTTAAGCAAGCATTAAAGTAATACTAAATGTGTACTATTTAATTTTACATTGTCCCTTTTATTTCTGTATGTGGATGATGGCACTGTAGTTATTAAAAAAAAAAAAAATCTAAGTACCTTTTTCCTAATCGATATGTAGCTGTCGCATGACCCAGATCTTTCCCAGCCTGTCTGCAGGGAAACAAAAGCAGGAGGAGCCTGTATTCCTCTGCTGCTGGTCACATGTTCAAAATAGAAAAAAGCAGCCTTTGGAATACACAGTAAAAATAAAATCAATAAACAGTTTTAAATTGGCATACAAATATATATTCAAAATCAAATCTTAATTATTTTGTGGAAATTGCATGGTGTGGGTGGAATTCTGCAAGTCACAGGCTGTGTCATGCCCCTCCAGCCTGTGTCCTAGAAGAAGAGGGAGGTGAAACAACCATTAATCTATATGTAATATCCCACTCCCATTGTGTTTAGCTGGCTAGTGAGCGTGGAGGAGGAGGGAGAGGGTGCGCTGTCATTCATCACTGTGTATACGCCCACATGTGTGACTCTAGTTACACGGGCTGCTCACATGTGATAAGGAGGAAATGCTCAGCATAGAAACCCACTGAAACCTGAGCGTGTGCAGAGTTGCCTCTACAGCTGCAAAATCCTTACCTGAATTGGGGACATGGACAGAAGGTGGAGATAGAGAGCAGTAGGATTAACCAGGTTCTTTGCAGAATAGTGACTGAGTATGAACAGCATGTAATGTAGCATTCATTGACCCGTTTTTTTGATGTGGGTTTAGTGACACTTAAAGGATTCTTGAACACACACGTTTGAACATTATTATTATACAGTATTTATATAGCGCTAAAAGGTTTGCTCAGCGCTGTACAATATAGTGGGGGACAGTACATGAGACAATACAGTAACAGAACAAAACACCAGGGGTTTCAAGGGCCCTGCTCTTTCAGTATTCCTGGAAAAACTTTCTTGCATTGATTGTATGTACACAAGCAAAATAAATTCTAGCTCTCAGAATAGAATTTTGACCTCTTAAAAATAACATTTTCCACACGTACGCAAATATTTGCACACATTTCCACTCGTACGTTCGTGTAACACTGGCCGTCACTGTTCAGTTTTTAGGCAGCATTATGCAAGAGGCTTAAAGCTTATGATGTCACCTCCCCTTAATATACTAGTTCCCTGGCTTTCATGATGATGCATGCACTTTCTTATGCATTGACCCAGGGCAAGTTTGCATATCAGGAATTCTGATTTCACTTGTTGCATGCTTGTTTCAGGTCAGTGTTATTTACATGTGTATTTTTCAAAGTAGGTAAGCAGTGGCAGACTAAGAATATTTCTGTTATTACAGGTGTTTTTATGGAGGGGATGAGTGGAGTACCTTTTTAGAATCCTTGTCAGGAATTTGTTGTGTGTTGTATTAATATGGGAGATTAATTCTTACTACTTGTATTTGTGCTTTTGAAAGACCGTTAACAAAAACAGGTATTACAGCCTCTTAAGTTTTTATTCCTGTCTGTTTTCTGTATCCTGGCAACACCTTTTGTCTTTCTGACCAAAGGGACATGTAATAGGAAATGTCACTGATGTGTCGACAGGCAGCAGGTTTCTAACTCCTCTCCACAATCCAGAACTTAGTTTTGAATTTTTGGCTGGAGTTGTTCTTTGGCTGATTTTAAAGTCAAATGTCCTTGCCAATTCCATATTGTTTCACACATACTCTAGAGTCAGTACAGGTAGAAGCTGGTTAATCTGCCATTGTACTTATGGCATTTAGGTTTTTCCTGTAATGTAATAAAGTAGAATACACCAGGACTAAAAATCTTTTATTTGTACTGTGTCCAATGCATTATTAAACAAACCTAAAAACCTATTTTTCATTTTCTGTAACAATAAATCAGAGATACTAAAATGTCCTGCATAAGGTTAAATGTTTACCTTTTACTTTTTGCAGCAAAATGCATTGACCATTACACCAAGCAATGTGTAGAGAACGCTGATCTCCCAGAGGGAGAGAAGAAACCTATAGATGAAACGCTTAGAGGGCATTGTTAACAAAATGTTCCAGCGCTGCCTTGATGATCACAAATACAAACAGGCCATTGGTATTGCATTAGAAACTCGTCGACTGGATGTCTTTCAGAAAACCATTTTAGAATCGGTGAGGCCCAGCCTACATTTTCACAAATGTTTAATAATAGTTACTCTCAACATTTGTATTGGGATTGTATAAATCTAACATTACCCTTTCTCCAGATTGCCTGTGCTTTGTCCAAATGTGCCTCTGTTGCTCCTCCAGTGGAGTGGAGACACCATAGGACATGAAGTATGTTACCTGCTGGATCATCAGGTGAAAATGAAGTGGGGGGATGCAAAAAATCCAAAAAATAAAGAAAACCACCATTTTCAACCCTCTCCTTTCCACTTACATATGGCCATATGTCAACAGTGGGGAGGAGGGGGGGGGTAGGTTAATAAGCATTATTGGCTGCTACAGGCCTAAAATGTTTTTTTTTTTTTTTTTTTTTAAAGTGTGCAAAAACATCTGTCAGCAAAAGTGTTGAAGTTGACGTTTTAATAAAAAACTTTTTTTTTTTTTTTTACATAAGTCTCTTCTACCCTCAGATATCTCACACTGGTGATTTTCCTGTGCTGCTTGAATGTATATGAGGGGCTGCACTTGTGACAGGCAGTCATCAAGCATTGACTAGGACTACCCTTTCCACCCCCATTCATAGAAGCCATGCTATCAGTTCCCACAATGGAAAGCTCTCTGCAAATGGAGGCGGCAGACCGTATCTGCCTGTCCTCCATTCATACTGCGCCGTTCATTGTGGGAACTGATAGTATGGCCCCTGTGAATGAAGCACAGAGGCGGAAAGGGTGGGCGCAGTAGGCACTTAAGTGCTTATTACAGTTGCAGCTGCCCATATTAACTGCTACAGAACCAGAAGATCACTGCTGCAGGGGTATCTGAGGGCAGAGAACTTCAGATTTTACCAAGCACTGCAGCCGCCAGCACAGGGGACTCCTCATTCATGGTAAGTACAGCACCGGGTTAAAAGTTTCGGCTTTTAGGATTTGTAAGCTGCAGTATATACAATTCTTATTTTTGTATTTAATACTGATTTTTAAACATGTTATGATAAGTAAGTTAGACTGCATTGTCTTTAAAATATTGATGAGTGTTCATAGTGTTTATATATTGTTTCGCAGAATGATGTCCCAGGAATGCTTGCATACAGCTTAAAGGTCTGCATGTCATTAATGCAGAACAAACAGTTTAGAAATAAAGTCCTTAGGGTCTTGGTGCAGATCTACATGAACCTGGAGAAACCTGACTTTATCAACGTATGCCAGGTAATCTTATTACATATCTAATATTACCCTTAACCTGCCAGCATGTGAGAGAAATTTCTGCAAAGTGCATGCTTCCTATCTTTGGATTCCAAGTCAAAGCATCTGGTGTATCCTTCAGTCAGGGTGGGGAGTGTTTGTCAACTATTTAAAGAATTTGTCTTAACACTTGCTCTTGCTATAACATCATTGATACACCATATTTTTTGTAATTTGTTCAAAAAGACCTATACCTTTCAATCTTCAAGCACCTATGGTTTTCTAAAACACCCCTAAAATCAAAATGTAGATTTCTTGAAATCACAGAAAATAGTGGTGTTTTTATACAGTGGTGGGTATGTGTTGTGTTAAAAGAATAATTAAAAAAAAGTCCACATTATACGTCATAAAGATTGGAATTGTAAAGCATACTGATTGATGATGGTTTTGACTTGCGTGCATATTTTGATCTGTTAATCTGTAACTGTTTTTTGTTATGGCAATACAAAACGTTTAAAAAAAAAATATATATTTTTTTATTAGTCCACATCAAGTGGTGATTAACTAAATAGAGGGTCTCGCGTATGGCCATTGTCCAAAGGAATGCACAATCCCATATCTGCTTAAAAACTGTCCTGTGCCATTTTGACGAGGCAGCACACTTCACCTTTCAGATGGTTCACATCTGTGCTTTGTGGTGCACCAACCGATGCAGCTGTGTTTGTGCATTGTGGTGCATTTAGATCTGTTTTTAGTTCTTGCAGCAATGTTTGGTAAATGCTCAGTTTTACATGCGTTACTGCAACTCACTTGTCTGAAAAGGCAGTAGAACAGAAAGTACTATAAATTCTGTTTTAAAAATATGGGTTTTTGGTAATGTGTGTTTGTTACAATGCTCAGTTGGATGATTGGACATGAGGTGCATTGCTGTGCCAGTCATTTTGAATGCACCTGTATTACAGCTCTCCACAACACACAAATGGGATCAGTTTCACAGATGGATGTGTAGTGAGATTTTCCCCTAACTTCCAGTTGTTTACTAAGTATCTGGGTTATTTCTGCAGGCTGGGTCCACATTGGCAGATTTAAGACACTGATCAAATAACCTCCTCATTAGTGGGTAGAAAGCAGAACAATAATACACTACTAACAATTGTTGATGCTAACACAATAGCAATGTAGAATTCAGAGAGGAGCTGCCTCCTTGTCTGGTTGTACACATATGCTGAGCCACTGTTGTAAATCAGCAGTTTGTATGGGCTGCCAGTGGGGCCACTAATAAGGAGGAGATAGGAGGGCAGCAGTAAAAAAAATTGGCTGAATCTCGTGAAGAGGAAAATGACCTGTAGCTGCTGGCATTTGTTTTATTTCTCTCCCTGGAGTCCAGAAGCACAGCAGTTCCAGAGTTCCAAATTGCAGAGCTATGGAAGTGTATGTCAAGCAGACAAACCATTCATCTTTGTGATTTGCAGTTTCCTGGACTATTTGTTTCAGGACCCCTTGTATCTAACTTGTTTGAGCATGTATAGATGTTCTTTAATGAGTGGAGTTTTGCCAACTGCCCAGTGTCAGGGATTGGGCAGAGGTTTTAAAATATTAACTCTTCCAGTTTTTTAAAAATTAAAAAAACAAACTTGTTATACCTACCTGCTCTTTTTTTTACACAGAGCAGCCCTGATCCGCTTTTGGGGTCCCACATTGGCACTCTGGGCCCCTCCTCTTCTCCGTGTGCCACCATAGGAAGCTGCTTCCTATGGTGGCAGCCATGTGGACTCGCTCCTGAGCCCTGCTGTCTGTGTCTATTGACATAGACAGAGGAGCTCAGCCCCGTACCCCGCTCCCTTGTCATAGCCAATGGCTCTCTCTGCTATCAATCTGCCCACTGAGGAGGGAGAGAGCCAGGAGAGCTGCTGTTCTCATGCACATCGCTGGATCGAGATCGGGTTTAGGTAAGTAAATAGAGGGGGGTTGGGACAGGGGGATCTTTTGCAACAGAAGATATTTTTTACTTTAATGCATAGAACACATTAAGATATAAAAAAACCTTCAAGCTTTAGAACCACTTTAACCGCTTCCCAACTGCGCTAAAGCCGAAAGACTGCTACAGCACGGTTGTCCAGTTTTGGGAGGGCGTCCATATATGTCCTCCCAGAACGCACCCCCAGCAGTGCGCACCTGGCGTTGTCGGAGATCGCTGTGTCCTATGGACAGATCTGATCACATGATAAGGTAAAAGGCCAATCACAGTGGCCTTTTACCACTTGATCAGCTGTGTCCAATACCACAGCAGATCACAAAGTAAATACAGTTGCCGATTGTCAACCGGCAAATGTGACTGGAGATCTGCACTGATCAGTGCCGCCCGTCAGTGCCTCCAGTCGCTATTAGTCAGTGCCGCCTGTCAGTGCCCATCATTGCTGCATATCAGTGCATTATCTGTGCCTCCAAATCTATGCTCACAAGTGCCGACTCATCAGTGCTGCCTCATCAGTGCCCATCAGTGCTGCCTCATCAGTGCCCATCAGTGCTACCTATCAGTACCGCCTATCAATGCCCACCAGTGCTGCCTATCAGTGCAGCCTCATCAATGCACATCAGTGAAGGAGAAAAATTACCTGTTTGCAAAATTTTAAAGTAAAGAAAACTTTTTTTTTTTTCCTAATTTCTTGCTCTTTTTCATTTACAGTGCAAAAAAAAAAAAACCCCAATGGTGATTAAATAAGACCAAAAGAGAGCTCTTTTTGTGTGGAAAAAAAAAAAAAAGTTCATATTGGTACAGTGTTGCATGACCGCACAATTGTAATTCAAATTGCGACAGCACTGAAAGCTGAAAATTGGCCTGGGCACGAAGGGGGTGAAAGTGCCCGTTAGGCAAGTGGTTAAGGGACCGGAAAGGCAAAGTATACAGTGTGCACTCTGCCCACCATTGTGGAAGTGGCTAAGCTTATTGGATTTATAGAAATTGCAAAGAATGGGTGAAGTTGGCTAGATGAAAAAAAGCTTAGAGATAGAAAAAACACAATCTGATCCTCCAACTGATGAAGCATAACAGATTGCGTTTTAGAGCCATGTTCTGTATGTGTTAAAGACAAATACAGACATTTGCCATTTGAGCCATCTCTCACTATTGCATGGGCCTTTCATTGGTGAGTTTTCATTTTTTCCTCAACTTCATCTTTTAGTTTTGATTGTTGCTTGTGCACCAAAGCTTGTAAAATCTAATGGCTGTGCCATCCAGTTCATGTGTACAGCTTCACAATGCACTTGTTAGCGTGGTTGAACAAGAAGTTCAAACTGACAGGATAGCTGTTCGGTGTAAACAAAAGCTTCCATGAATACATGTCTTTCATTAAATACAGTAATTGCACTATTGTGGTCTACAAGGCATTTTCTTACACAGATGTTTGTAAACCCTAGACAATGGGTCATGTTTCTAGCACTGTTTCAGGAGATTATAAAAGCTCCAAATACTGTACTGCTTGTATATTGTGGCACCTTTTGCTAGTTCATCTGCTGTATCAGTTTGGCTCTGGATGCTGTTTGCTTGCTTTAAAGCCCTTGCACTCTATTCTTCATCTTTTCAAATGAAGTACTAAGCCTCATACTAGGCTGTATTGGTGTCCTTCCCCTTCCCAAAAACACTTACCTGACCCTTCCACTGATCCGGCACTGTTCCATTTTCAGCACAGCTGCTCCCTCTCCATAGTCTCACAGGAGACTCTGAGAGCAGCGGGAACCCAGGCTCCTGCTGCTGTCATTCAAATCCTGCGAGGAGGGGGGCATGGCCAAGCTTTGTGTGTCTATTGACGTACACAGCCCGCCTCAGGAGTATGCCCCTTGCATGGGAGCTTCCTCCGCACACAGTTTGCTGAGGGGGCACTCGGAGGAACGAGCAGAGAGCACAGTCAGGGGACCTCCAAAAGGGAGGTAAGCCACAGCTTTTTGCAATATCGTTGCACAGAGCAGGCAAATATAACCTCTTTTTTTTTTATTTTTATAAATAGTAATTGATTAGTAATTCAGTAAAAATTTAGTACATTTTTATTTTTAATAGCCCTCAGTAATGGAGCACCTCATCTATCTGATTAGAGATGCAAAGATACTTGGGAAATTGCACTTTTTGTTTTCTTTCCTTATCTTATATTTGATCTTTTTTCTTTTCACAGTGCCTCATTTTCCTGGATGACCCCCAAGCTGTTAGTGATATACTGGAGAAGCTGGTGAAGGAGGATAACCTGCTCATGGCTTACCAGATATGCTTTGACTTGTATGAGAGCGCCAGTCAACAGTTCCTGTCTTCAGTCATACAGAATCTCCGTACGGTTGGAGCCCCTATTCCTTCAGTTCCAGGTTCTACCAACACTGGCACAGTTCCTAGTGTTTCCAAAGAGAGGTAAGAATCTCAAGAGTGAAACCTCCTGCACTCAGGTGTGGTGCCTACAACTGGGACAGATTTTCAGCTTGACTGGTCTTTCAGGAGTAACGCACAAATGTCTACTGCCCTCTCAGGACTGTGGGCATCCTTGCACATACTACAAAACAACAAAAGAGAGGGCTTACTGATCTAGTGCATTACCTTCACTCAGTTTTACTACAAATGAATAACAAGTGGATACTCACAAACGCATGTCATGCACAAACCAAGTTTGGCTCTGAGGAAGAGGGCATGACTCTCAAAACACATTAGCTGTTTCTGGAAGCTATGAGGTTTTCCCATTCCATCAACCGAGTACTGTGGATTTGGTGGTGGTCTCGTTTGTATCTGTAGATATGCTCGTGCATGGCATGAGTTTGTGAGTATCCACTTTTTATTTTTTTTTAATGAGATTGAGTTACAGTAATGCACTAGGTCAGTGTGCCCTCTCTTTTGTTTTGCGGAATCTCATGAGTAGCAGGTGTTCTTTCAAATAATTCAGATATCATGTTTTACAATAACATTTAGCACTTCATAATAGTTTTAATAAATATGGGCGGTCTGATAAATAGAAATTGGAAAATGATCTTGTCAGATCAGGGAAGTTTAAAGCCCTATCATCCCTAATCTACACTGGGCCCATTTATGGCACCACTCTGTGCCGTGATAAAGTGACACCTGTGCGTGTGCATGGTATCATAAATGTGGCCTAGCTATTTATGCAGCCAGAGGGAACCCAGAAGAAATATGGTGTGCACATTTTTAATGGTCCCAGGAGGTATTTGCACAGCATATTAGTACTTTATGGCAGACTTACCTGTCAAAGGAAGTCCTCCAACACTACTCTGTCATCGTTCTGTCCCAAGCGCTTCAATCTTCTCCCAGTCTTCTTTCCAGGTTCACTCTGTTCGGCCAGTTAAATGGCTGGGCCAATTTGATGTCACTCCCATGCATATGCACAGGTAGTCACTTAATCACGGGACAGAGCGATGCCGTAAATGGGCTCCGTGTACGTTACTGCTGCAGGGCTTTAACTTTCTCTAATCTCTATAACAAGATCACATTTTAAGATTAGAATGTTAGCGATTTGCTTGGGCAACAGCTTATAACTACAATATTAGGCTTTTTCCATTTATATAAAAGTAAAGCAGGTGTAATTTTGTAGGGTTTTTTTTTTTTTTTTTTTTATGCAGTTTTGATGTGTACTTTTGCAACAGTTATCCATGATTGACTGAATACACAATAGACTTTTCTTTGTTTGCTATTCATTCATGGATGACTTTCTTTTCAGTTATTTTATTCCGGTTTAATTTCCTGTTCTGTGTTGGATAAACGTTTGTAATGTTTACAGTGAACCAATGGAAACAGAAGACAAAGCTGTCAGCACAACAGGCAGCAAATCAACAGATGCGGTTAGTGTCAATTTTTTTTATGCACATCACTAATTGCATTGAAAACGGTTTCTAATATTTTATGTATTTCAATCAGGAATTTTGTGTTGCAGTGTAGCTTACTGAATATAGTTGCTGAGTTTTTACACTTTTTTTCACATCCATATTTTTACACATTTGCAGTACATGTCTGGCAACCTTTTGTACATCTCTTAAGTGGTAAGGTCTATAAAAGCCCACTCCTGTGTGTTTCTGCACATGTAGGTGAAACTAGCTTTTCTACCAAGAAGGCTGATTCATGTGCTCTGCTGACCCTTGCCATGCAATGCTGGCTTCGTAAAAACAGGCAATCAAAATTCTAACTTTCTTCATTGACTGTACTTATAAAACATTTGAGTTGTTCTGACTTTTTTGATACCTTGGCTCCTGAATAAAAGGGTTGTATAGGCTAGACATTTTTTACCTTAATGCAGTCCCTGTGCAGTGCTACCACGGTTTACGAATGCCTCGGTTAATGTAATTTTTGGTTTACGAATGAAAATCCATTGAAAATAATGCCTCGGTTTACAAATTTTTTTCTCTCTCTCATGAGAGGGTGCTTTGGCCCAAAGCACCTTGTCCCCATGCTGATGGGGACAAGGGCCTCTTCCCCACAAACCCTGGCCGGTGGTTGTGGAGGTCTGTGGGCAGGGGGCTTATCGGAATCTGGAAGGCCCCTTTTAACATGGGGGGCCCCCAGATCCCGCCCCCCTCCCCCAAAGCACCTTGTTACCACAACCCTGGCTGGTGGTTGTGGGGGTCTGTGGGCAGGGGGCTTATTGGAATTTGGAAGCCCCCTTTAACATGGGGGGCCCCCAGATGCCTCCCCCCCCAAGTGATTGAGTATGGGGTACATGGTATCGCTGCCCATTCACAAAAAAAGTGTAGTGTGAAAAAAAAACCAGGACACGGTCTTTGACAAGTTCTTTATATATAAAAAAAAAAAAAAACGAAAAGAATGTCCCCCGCAGTAGATCCAACGTCGATCACGATGCCCGCCGAAAAAAAAAAAGGTTCCGTTCCCGACAACGGCTTCCAGCCTTCTGCCTCTGAGCTGGCTTGACAGTTCTTAAATATATAAGGGGCAGGGACATCACGCATGTGACTCCACTCCATGTGACATCAGTGATGTCAAATGGGGGGGGGGGTCACTTGGGGGACATTCTTTTCATTGTTGTTCTTTTAATAAAGGATTTGTCAAAGACCGTGCCCTGCCTTTTTTTCACACTACACTTTTTGTGTTTTTGTGAATGGGTATCGGTACCATGTACCCCAACTCATTCACATGGGAAGGGGGGACTGGGATCTGGGGGCCCCCTTGTTAAAGGGGCTTCTAGATTCCGATAAGCTCCCTGCCCACAGACCCCCACATCCACTGGCCAGGGTTGTGGGGAAGAGGCCCTTGTCCCCATCAGCACAGGGACAAGGTGCTTTGGGGGGGGGGGAGCCCCCCTGCTCCAAAACACCCCCCTCATGTTGAGGGCATGTGGCCTGGTATGGTTCAGGATTGGGGGGGGGGGGGCTTTTTCGTTTCTTTCCTGACCTGCCAGGCTGCATGCTCGGATAAGGGTCTGGTATGGAATTTGGGGATGGACGGACCCCCACGCCATTTTTTTTTTTTTTTTTTTTACATTTTGACATGGGAGTTCCCCTCAAAATCCATACCAGACCTGAAGGGCGTGGTATGGATGGGGGGGGAGACCCCATGCTTTTTTTAAATTCATTTTTTTAAATTGCTGGCAATTCTTTTACATTTAGCTGTCGGTGGGGAACCCGCTGACAGCTGAAACATTAGCCTCCCTGGAGGTATTCCCGAGTGTAGCTCGGGGTAAAGTTTCAGTACCACAAGCGGTAACCCCGAGATACACTCGGGGTTTACCATGCGGCGCTGCTCCGGGATCCCTCGATCACTTACCTTGTCCTGCGCTCCTGTAATGTCCCTCCTGCAGTGTCCCCTGTAATGTCCTCCGGCGGATGCCGGCATCTGTCATCTGGGTTCCGTTCCCTGTGAGCGTCGGGACGTACGGGGATGGAACTGGTGGGAAATTTGAAAATGACAAAAAGTGACATTCACTAAAGTCACATGGTAAAACATTACTGTATCAAAGCATTTCACATACATTTTGTGCCCTAGTGCTTTGTCCTGTGCCCTGCCTGCATTTTGACTGTTCTTTCTGAGAAACGTCCATGGCGTCCAAAGAGCGTCCCTTTAGGCCAAGAGCGGTTTTAGACCAGCTAGAGAACAGTGATAGTAAATTAGAACTACTTGTAGAATTGAGTGATAATGATTCATGGGGAAATTCGTCATCAGACACTGAAAACGATTTTGCGACTTTGCTCAGTGATGTGCGAATTTGGTGCTATATTTCAAATTTCAGTGTTTTTGGTTTGATTATATTATTGAATTAAATTTATTATTATATTTATTTTTTATGATTATTAAATTATAATTTATGATTTCGTGTTTCAAATTTTACCATACCCGGGATGTTTACTAGACTCTTGTTCGGACAGATTTCAGTGAGTTATTCCTAAAAATTACAGCCTACAATAAAAAAAATACATATTTCCATGCAAAAAAAGTACCGCTTTGAGCACAGAAATATGGACATAATCAGACCGCTAGGGAGGTTAACACATGGTTGTCACTACTAAAATACCACATGACTTGTTAAAATAGCTCATGCGGTATTTTAGTAGCGTTTACTTTTTAATTGGTTTTCATTGCATTCCTATGGGAAACGGCGTTTTCGGTTTCCAAATTTTTCGCTATGCAAAAAGTCCTGCAGAACGAATTAAATTCATAAACCGAGGTATTACTGTATTAAGATAAAAAAATCTCCCAATGTGTCAATGGATTGACGCAGTCCGACTGGGGAGCGAACTCTCTGGTGTGCCCCCATTGGAAGCGGTGGAGGAGGAGTGGAGAGCACAGTCGGGGACCCCAGAAGAGGAGATTCTGGGTTTCTCTGTGCAGTACATTTCACAAAGCAGGCAAGTATACCATTTTTATTTTTTTTTTTAAAAAGTTAGACTTTACAACTGCTTTAAGGGCCAATTCACAACACAAAAACATCTTTCAGATTTGTTCCGGTTGCTTTTCTGCATGCGCTTTTAACGTGTTTTTGATGCGTTTCTGGATGCATTCCAGATGTGTTCTTTTTTGGGTCATTTCAATTGCAAAATCTTTATTTTCTTCAAGACAATGCTTCTGGGTCACTTTTCCTGTCAGATCACTTCCTGTTTATGATTTGGAAGTGTCCTTTGCATGCTGTGTGCTGCTGAGAAGATGTCTGCACTGGCAGGCTTATTCATGGTTATGAATTGCCATTGCACTGCTGAGACTGCAAGTCTGCAAGGGAAGGCGTTATTTGGTACATCCACTGTTGATTGAGCCTATTGGTGTCCAGATACAGCTTTCTATGCTCCATTTTGTCTAGATGGTCATGTGACCAGAAGAGGATCATGGGAGGAATTAAAATACATTTTTCATGTCATTGTAGTGGTGTCCGGTGCTTTTTGTATGCTTTCCAGTATAGTTCTGAGCAGGAAAAAAGTAGCAAGTTGTACTTTTTTGATGCAGAAAAAATACACTACACTGCATGTGGTGTGAACCGGCCCTTTATCCAAAGCAACCACTGCAACCCATTTAGTTACCTGTTATAATGTAAGAATGTTATGTTTTATACTTGCTATGCAAAACCTGACACCATTTTGCCATAAAGATGAAAATTTGATACAGCACGTGTGCTGCCAAATAAGACCCATTGAAATAAAAGGACAGTGCAGCAACTGAGTGTAATGTTTGCGGCGGGCTTTCACAAATTGAAATAGCCAATCAGAAGGCAATGTATTGTCTCTGAGCCAATTGTCAACCAGCTCTGGCAAGTTATCCACTGCGGATTGCTTTTCATAGGTGTGTTAAGAAGTGGCACATGTGTAAATGAGGTCTTAGGGACATGCTGCTGCTTTTTTTTAGTTAATGCATACACTGAGTTGATGCTAAAGCAGTTTTGTCTTTCATAAAACTACCTTTGAATCATGAGGATCTTAGTGTGCATAGTGTAGAGCACAAATCTATTTTAAAAATGCATCCAATGTTATTATGCTTAGGCCACAGTTAAAATAATAGCCATTTAAAAATCCATGGGAGCACTTCCAAGATGATTTTATTGTGCACTTGCCAACAGTCTTGCAGGATGAAAAGAATAGCTAAAATCAACAGTTTTTTTTCTTTTCTTTGCGAAAACATTGCTCAAGTCTCCATTTATCTTCAGGCTGGTTATGTGGTCAAATAGAATGATCAACTAACCTGTCCTCTGACCCTCTTATTCAGCAGAGATAACTAGATTTTATGACTTGAGGAACAGTTAGAATTTTTGGGATAGTGTTAGCATTTAATTTTTTTTTATTTGCTTGAAATATCAACAAATATCTTATGCTGCATCTTTTCCTATGTCTTTAGAGTCCTGAGCCTAAAGACCAGATTTCAAAAATGATAAAGATCTTAAGTGGAGAAATGGCTATAGAACTACACTTGCAATTTTTGATACGGAATAACAACACAGACTTGATGATCCTGAAGAACACGAAGGTTTGTTAGATTGTGACATGACTGACTTCATTTTATGTAAAAATGCATTGCACGAGGCTGCCTGGTTGACTTGGTTTGGGAATCTGCATAATTTTTGTAGGGTTAAAAATACAAGTATGTGCAATAATTATACAGTGCATTCATAAATTATTCAGACCCTCTTCACTTTTTTTCAGTTGTCATGTTGCAGCCTGATACTACATTTGTTTAAATTCATTTGTATTCTCATTAATCTACACTCAGTACCTCATAATGACAATGGGAAAATGGAATTGTAGAAATGTCTGTAAATTTATTAGAAAGAAAAAACTTAAATATCACATGTACTTAAGTATCCAGAACCTTTGCTCAGTACTTTGTTGAAGCACCTTTTGGCAGCAATTACAGTTTTCAGTCTTTTTGGGTGTGATGTGAAAAAATTTGCACACCTGGATGGGGGGATTTTCTGCTGTTCTTCTTTGCAAGTTCTCTCAAGCTCAGTCAGGTCGGATGGGGACAGTCATTTTCAGGTCTCCAAAGATGTTCAATAGGGTTCAAGTCAGGACTTTGGCTGGACCACACTAGGACAGTCACAGAGTGGTCCTTAGGCCACTCCTGTGTTGTCTTGTCTATGTGCTTAGGATCACCCACATGGAAGAAAAATATATTTGGTATTTATTTTAAAAATACTCTTCCCAAATACATATACTACTTTGTGTGTATATGTATATATATAAATATATATATATATATGTGTGTGTGTGTATATATATATATATATTGTGTGTGTATGTATATATATATATATATATATATATATATATATATATATATATATATATATATATAATATTAAATATGGCCAAAATTGTAGCATTTCAAATATATTTTTCTTCCATATGGGCATTGTCGTGTTGGAAGGTGAACAATCGGCTCATTCTGAGGTCCTGAGCGCTGTGGAACAGTTTTAATTGAGGGTATCTCTGTACTTTGTTACATTCAGTTTTCCCTCAACCCTGAGCAGTTTCCCAGTCCCTGCTGTTGAAAAACACCCCCACAGCATGATGCTGCCACAACCCTTCTTCACTGTTGGGTTGGTGTTGGGCAGGTGGTGAGCAATGCCTGGTAATCTCCAGACATAACATTTAGTATTGAGGCCAAAACTGTTCAAACTTGGTTTCATCAGACCAGAGAATCTTGTTCCTCACAGTCTGAGAGTCCTTCAGGAGCTTTTTTGGCTGCCTGACCAGCTCTTGAAAGAGTCCTAGTTTTGCCAAACTTCATTAATTTGAAAATTTGAATAACCTTTATAGAATCAGGCAGACAGTTCTTTTGACCTCATGGCTTTTCTTCTGATACAGTATGCATTGTTAGCTGTGAGGCCTTTTGCAGAGAGGTGTGTGCCTTTCCATATCATATCCCAATAAATTCAATTTGCCACAAGGGGACTCTAATCAAGGTGCAGAAACATCTCAGCAATGATCAGGAAAAGTGAGAGGCACATGAGCTTAATTTCGAGTGTTGTTGCAAAGAGTCTGAATACTTATGCCATTGTGATATTTCAATTTTTCCTTTGTCATGTGTAGCCCTGCACCCGTAGGAGTTGCTGAGTTTTTTGGGTCCCCCACAGCTATGCAACACGCATCTTCCCATCCAGATTTACATCCAAGAGACCGTAATCAGTCTTTGAGCTTGTTTTTTGCTTTTTATTAGGGAAAGAACTATAGAGTAAGAGGTGTATGGGATGCCCAAGGGTATGGCAACAGAATACAGTCTTCCTGAACTGTGTACAAGTCTCTTTAACATTTTAAAAAATGTTATTACATATTTCAAAAATAGATCCTTCTTCTTGGAGAGCTAGTCAGCATCTCCTGTAGTGTCACCCCAGACCCTAGATACTCCTTATGCAGCTGTTCTCGGTGAATCCCTGGGGATCCAGTACCTGTCACTTTTAGAGAAGAGAGCACCTGGTAGTAGCTAATCCATTTTCCCACCAGAGTGCTCCTTGCCCTTACTGGCCCAGGGGGTGCAGGTCTACTCACTCAGTTCTTCTCTTATACTGTTGAGTTAGTGGCTGCTCTCAGGCCTTCTGCTGGGCTGCTCCTTCTCTGCTGCATAGGTGGCCTTCACTCTGGGGAGCCACTGAAGTCCCAGGCTTTCCTCCTTCCAAAATCCTCTGCCTGTAGGTGAGCCCCTCTCCATCTGGGCCCCTTCCTAGGCTCCTGCTCTCCAACCTCACTTCTCAATCTTCCACATGAACTCTCTTCTCTTCCTGCCGCTGAGCAGGCTCTTCCACTTTTAAGGGTTGTCCTGACCCCTTGCTAAGCCTCCTGTTGGTGATAGGTCAGGATCCCTCAAAAGTGCAGACCAGCCACTCCTTATCTTCGCCCACTTCTTCTAGAACTTTCTCCAAAGTTCCAGTGCATGGGGAAGTCTCAGAGCTGATCTGCAGAGCCTCTTGGCTCTGACCACAATTTGACCCCACTCTTACTGTTACACCAAGGCTGATACTCAGTCCTTCTAACTGAAGAATCAGTTCTAGCTCCCCCTAGCTATCTAGGAGGGTGCTACACATGCATTTGCAAACATTTCTAAAATTCTGCTTTCACTGTCATTGTCATTATGAGGTACTGAGTGTAGATTAATGAAAACAAAATAATTTTAACAACTAGCATCAGCATCATAGCAAAATCGAAAAAAGTGAGGGGGGATCTGAAAACTTTATGAATACACGGTGTCTTTATGCAATCAAAGGAACAAAGTTATTCAAACTCTCTAGTGAAAAAAAACCTTTTACCTCCTCCGAGTAGTTGTAATTTTCAGCTTCTTTTTTCTGTTTCAACATTTTGCTATATTTGGGTTTCCAAGTAAACCATTATGCATTTTGAAAAATATCTTCCTCTATCCAGTCCAAGAAATATAAATAATTAGCAGTATGCAAATATGTTTGGCTGCTTGTATCGTCAGTTGTAAATACTACAGTATTTTATTAGCTGTTCATGTTCATGTAAATTTCTAATCAAGAGCCACAATCAAGATACAGCTATATTGTTTTTCCATTGTTTGTTAATTTCATAGACTTAATGTCTCTCAAAATTTAACTTTCTAGTTTTCTGGTTGCAGAAATAGTAAATAAAAGCTCAATTGGTGTCAAATAACATTGAATTTGCATGCAAATGTTTAGGTATAAATTATGTGTGTTGTGTTACTGAATAACAGTCTGCTTTTTGCTTTAGGATGCTGTGAGGAATTCTGTGTGTCATACAGCTACTGTAATAGCAAATTCTTTTATGCATTGTGGCACCACCAGCGATCAGTTCCTCAGGTAAGTTTACCACTGGTCTGTCTTTAAAGTGGATTTGTCAGGTTTTGCCTACAGGATGAACTTAAAAATTGTCATGCGTTCTTCTCTGGGCATTGTATGCAAATGCAAAATGTCAGCTAGAAAGAGAGACTAATGCTAGCTTCAGGGTTTGCTGGTCGTTTTTTTTTCATCTTTTTTTTTTTTTTTTTTTTTTTTTTTTTTTTTTTTTTTTTTTTTTAAGGGCAGTTATGGAGTTTATTGTGAAATGTGCTTTAACTAAAACCTGACAGGTACTCTTTAGGCTCCTGCATTATGATGTAACATCATTTAGTATATATAAATCCAGGTCATCTTCAAATTAGATTTTTGACAATTGTTAATTCCTTTTTTCAATTGCTGTTAAGTTATGCTGCAAAGAATTCCATGGTTGTAGACCAGAGATATTTAAATGTACACTAATTTCAGTCATTAGGACACATGTCAGCATTACTGAATCGTGATCTTTATTGTTTTAAAAAAAAAAAAAAAAAGTTTCTGTTTATTGCCATGTATAAATTGCTTCTGAGCTCTTTCATGTGACCTGCAGCCTAGGCAAGTATAACTTCATCTGTGGCTACCATAAACACTGTTTTTATGTTTTTTTGTCATTCAAGGCTGTGACAAGTGTTTACTGTCAGGCAGAATTTGTCTTGTAGACTTGCAGTCAGATCAACTTGTGTATACAATGGACAAATGTGTCTGCCCTGTGTACATGTAGAATTACAAGCCGTACATAGAAAAAAATTTTTTATTATTATAATAAAGGTTTTGTATAGCGCCAACAGTTTGCGCAGCGCTTTACAAAATGAAAGTAGACATTACAGTTACAATACAATTTGGTACAAGAGGAAACGGAGGGCCCTGCTCGTTAGAGCTTACAATCTAGGAGGGGTTTTTTGAAACCATAACACATATTGATTTACAGGTTTTGTATTAAGCCGATCTTTTACATACTGTATATATTGAGATGCTTATTGTTGTGGTTTATGTACATGTAAATGGCACCTTTTGATTTTAATTAATGTTTTCTTTGACAGAGATAATTTAGAATGGTTAGCAAGAGCCACAAATTGGGCAAAATTTACAGCAACAGCTAGCCTGGGAGTTATCCACAAGGTAAGCAGTCTTGATCATTTCCTCTTGTAGTAATGTCACATATATACTGTGCCTTGAAAAAGTATTCATACCCCTTGAGATTTTCCACATTTTTGTCATGTTACAACCAAAAACGTAAATGTATTTTATTGGGATTTTATGTGATAGACCAACATAAAGTGGCACATAATTGTGAAGTGGACGGAAAATGATAAATGGTTTTCAAAATTTTTTACAAAAAACATCTGAAAAGTGTGGCGTGCATTTGTATCTAGCCCCCTGAGGCAACCACCGTTTGCTGCAATTACAGCTGCAAGTCTTTTTGGGGATGTCTCTACCAGCTTTGCATATCTAGAGAGTGAAATTTTTGCCCATTCTTCTTTTCAAAATAGCTCAACCTATCGGATTGGATGGAGTGTCTTGCAATTTTCAAGTCTTGCCACAGATTCTCAATTGGATTTAGGTCTGAACTTTGACTGCGTTATTCTAACACATGAATATGCTTTGATCTGAACCATTCCATTATAGCTCTGGCTGTATGTTTAGGGTAGTTGTCCTGCTGGAAGGTGAACCTCCGCCCCAGTTTTAAGTCTTTTGCAGACGGGTTTTCTTCCATGATTGCCCTGTATTTGGCTCCATCCATCTTCCCATTAACTCTGACCAGCTTCCCTGTCTCTGCTAAAGAAAAGCATCCCTACAACATGATGCGACCACCACCATGTTTCACAGTGGGGATGGTGTGTTCAGGGTGATGTGCAGTGTTAGTTTTCCACCACACATAGCGTTTTGCTTTTAAGCAAAAACGTTCAATTTTGGTCTCATCTGACCAAAGCACCTTCTTCCACATGTTTGCTGTGTCCCCCACATGGCTTCTCGCAAACTGCCAATGGGACTTCTTATGGCTTTCTTTCAACCATGGCTTTATTCCTTCTACTCTTTCATAAAGGCCAGGTTTGTGGAGTGCATGACTAATAGTTTTCCTGTCGGCAGATTCTCCCAGATGAGCTGTGGATCTCTACAGCTCCTCCAAAGTTACCATGGGCCTCTTGGCTGCTTCTCTGATTAATGCTGTCCTTGCCCGGTCTGTCAGTTTAGGTGGAAGGCCATGTCTTGGTAGGTTTGCAGTTGTGCCATATTCTATTTTGATGAATTGAACAGTATTCCGTGAAATGTTCAAAGCTTGGGATATTTTTTATACCCTAACCCTGTGTTAAACCTCTCCATAACTTTATCCCTGACCTCTCTGGTGTGTTCCTTGGCCTTCGTGATGCTGTTTGTTTACTAATAATTATCTAACAAACCTCTGAGGGCTTCACAGAACAGCTGTATTTATACTGAGAATAAATTACACACAGGTGAACTCTATTTACTAATTAGGTGACTTCTGAAGGCAATTGGTTCAACTAGATTTTTGTTAGGGGTATCAGAGTAAAGGGGGCTGAATACTAATGCACGCCACACTTTTTAAATATTTATTTGTAAAACATTTTGAAAACCATTCATCATTTTCCTTCCACATTTTCCTTCCACTTCACAATTATGTGCCACTTTGTGTTGGTCTATCACATACTATTCCAATAAAATACAATTACCTTTTTGGTTGTAACATGACAAAATGTGGAAAGTTTCCAGGGGTATGAATACTTTTTCAAGACTGTGTGTGTGTGTGTGTGTGTGTGTGTGTGTGTGTGTGTGTGTGTGTGTATATATATATATATATATATATATATATATATATATATATATATATATATATATATATATATATATATGCACACACACACACTATATTGCCAAAAGTATTGGGATGCCTGCCTTTACACACACATGAAATTTAACTGCATCCCAGTCCCATTAGTCCCTGGTCACACTGAGTGTGGCTTGGCATGCGATTTGCATGCCGTACGACTTTCAAATCACATGGCAAGTCGCACCCTATTGTTTGTAAATACAACGGCCATATCTGTGTGCTTCCGACTTGGTCAGAGCTGCACCGATTTCTAAAGTAGTGCATTCACTACTTTTGGTTCGATTTACATAGACATCTGTGTCCAATGTCTTGCAAATCGCACCTCAAATCGGCATGTCATCCAACATTGAAATTGTGCGACTTCACTGCATAATTTCGAAGTCAGGATTGGTTTGACCGGGGTGCCAGTCCGTAGGGTTCAATATTGAGTTGGCCTATCTTTGCAGCTATAACCGCTTCAAATCAAGACTGTCCACAAGGTGTAGCTCTAGAGTCCAGTGGTGGTGTGCTTTACACCATTGCAACTGACGCGTTGCATTGTACTTGGTGGTGTAAGGCTTTGATGCAACTGCTCAGCCATGGAAGTCCATTTTGTGCTAATCTGAAGGTCACACGAAGTATGGAGTTCTATAGCTATTGACTCTGCAGACAGTTGGCGACCTCTGCATGCATGCACTGACCCTGCTCTGTCATTTTGCTGCTTTTCCCAGTTGCTTTCACTTTGTTATAACACCACTAACCGTTGACCGTGGAATATTTCGTAGCAAGGAAATTTTCACGAATGCATAGGTGGCAACCTATCACGGTACCATACTTGAATTCATTGAGCTCCTGAGAGCGACTAATTCTTTCACAAATGTTTGTAGAAGCATTATTCATGCCTAGGTGCTTGATTTTATACACCTGTGGCCATGGAGGTGATTGGAACACCTGAATCCAATAATTTGAAGGGGTGTCCCAATACTTTTGGCAGTGTGTGTACACACTATATTGCCAAAAGTATTTGGATGCCTGCCTTTACACACACATGAACTTTAATGGCATCCCAGTCTTAGTCCATAGGGTTCAGTATTGAGTTGGCCCACCCTTTGCAGCTGTAACTGCTTCAACGCTTCTGGGAAGGCTGTCCACAAGGTTTAGGAGTGTGTTTATGGGAATGTTTGACCATGCTTCCAGAAGAGCATTTGTGAGGTCAGGCACTGATGTCAAATGAGAAGGCCTGGCTCACAGTCTCCGCTCTAATTCATCCCAAAGGTGTTCTGTCGGGTTGAGGTCAGGACTCTGCAGGCCAGTCAAGTTCGTCCACCCCAAAGTCACTCATCCATATCTTTATGGACCTTTCTTTGTGCACTGATGCGCAGTCATGTTGGAACAGAAAGAGGCCATCCCCAAACTGTTTCCACAAAGTTGGGAGCGTGAAATTGTCCAAAATGTCTTGGTATGCTGACGCTTTAACAGTGCCCTTCACTGGAACTAAGGGGCCAAAGCCCAACCCCTGAGAAACAATCCCACACCATAATCCCCCCTCCACCAAACTTTACGCTTGGCACAATGCAGTCAGGCAAGTACCGTTCTCCTAGCAACCACCAAACTCAGAAATGTCTATCGGATTGCCAGACAGAGAAGGGTGATTCGTCACTCTAGAGAACACTTCTCCACCGCTCTAGAATCCAGTGGCAGTGTGCTTTACACCACTGCATCCGACACTTTGCTAACTAACCTGATCAATCACTGTTTTTGGTAGAAATGATATTTCTACATGGCAAATAATTTACTAGCAGGTGTAGTAGAGTAATAGAAATCCAACAGTCATGACATGCATGCTGCTGATTCTGTGTAATTGAATCACTAACTGAAAGGAGCATGTTCAAAATAATAGCAGTGTGGAGTTCTATTAGTGAGGTCATTCATTCTTTGAAAAACAGGTGGCAATTATTGCCCTTATTTAAGGAAGGAAGGCAGCAAATGTTGTACATTCTGGTTACAGTGCATTTCTCTCTGAAATTCTGAGGAAAATGGGTCGTTCCAGACATTGTTCAGAAGAACAGCGTACCTTGATTAAAAAGTTGATTGGCGAGGGGAAAACACATAAAGAAGTGCAGAAAATGATAGGCTGCTCAGCTAAAATGATCGCAAATGCTTTAAAATGGCAACCACTGAAAGACGTGGAAGAAAGCGAAAAAACTACCATTTGAATGGATAGAAGAATAGCCAAAATGGCAAGGACTCTGCCAACAATCAGCTCCAGGAAGATCAAAGAAGGTCTAAAGTTACCTGTGAGTACGGTTACAATTAGAAGACGCCTATGTGAAGCCAAGCTATCTGCAAGAAGCCCCCGCAAAGTCCCACTGTTGAAAAAAAGACATGTGCTGAAGAGGTTACAATTTGCCAAAGAGCACATTGACTGGCCTAAAGAGAAATTGCGCAACATTTTGTGGACTGATGAAAGTAAGATTGTTCTTTTTGGGTCTAGTGGCCGGAGACAGTTTGTCAAACGACTCCCAAACACTGAATTCAAGCCACAGTACACTGTGAAGACAGTGAAGCATGGTTGTGCAAGCATCATGATATGGGAATGTTTCTCATACTACGGTGTTGGGTCTGTTTATCGCATACCAGGGATCATGGATCAGTTTGAATACATCAGAATACTTGAAGAGGTCATGCTTCCTTATGCTGAAGAGGAAATGCCCTTGAAATGGGTGTTCCAACGAGACAACGACCCCAAACACACCAGTAAACGTGCAACATCTTGGTTCCAGGCCAACAAGATTGACGTTATGGAGTGGCCAGCCCAATCCCCGGATCTTAATCCAATAGAAAACTTGTGGGGTGACATCAAAAATGCAGTTTCTGAGGCAAAACCAAGAAATAGAGAAGAACTGTGGAATGTAGTCCAATCATCCTGGGCTGGAATACCTGTTCACAGGTGCCAGAAGTTGGTTGACTCCATGCAACACAGATGTACAGCAGTTCTCAGAAACAGTGCTTATACAAATAAATATTAATTAAGTGATTCAGAGGAAAGCAAAATCGTCAAACATTTTTCAGTTTATATAGTGAATGTTTGAGTTTGTAAAGAAGAATACAAACACTGCTATTTTTTTGAACCGTCTAATATTCACTTTTCTTCAATTTACTTAGAGGAACAACACAAATTTGATGTATTTTTCTTCGCGTTTTGATTTGGAAAAGAATGTGTAGTGTTCCCAATGCATTTGTGTGTATGGAAATAAAACCTATTAGGATTTGAGCTTTATTCACTTTTCAACACATTGCTATTATTTTGAACACAACTGTGTATATATATTTGTGTGCGTGTGTGTGTATATATATATATATGTGTATGTGTGTATGTATGTGTATATATGTGTGTATATATATATATATATATGTGTGTGTGTGTGTGTGTGTGTGTGTGTATATATATGTGTGTGTGTGTGTATGTATGTATGTATGTATGTATATGTGTGTATGTGTATATATGTGTATATATATATATATATGTGTGTGTATGTATATATATATATATATATATATATGTGTGTGTGTGTGTGTGTGTGTATGTATGTGTGTGTGTGTGTGTATGTATGTATGTATGTATATATGTGTGTGTGTGTGTGTGTGTGTGTGTGTGTGTATATGTATGTATGTATATATGTGTGTGTGTGTGTGTGTGTGTGTATGTGTATGTATGTATATATGTATATATATATATATATATATATATATATATATATATAAATCACAGTGCTCAGCATAAATGAGTAGGCCCCAACAGATTTGTCAGGAAAGCTTTACTTTCATTTCAGAATCAACATTTTCTATTGGACATTATACTACAAAATACTCCCACAAATGCGGGTCATTGATTGCAAACAAGAGTTGTTAATTTGCACACACAAAACATTATTTTTCCTAACAAATTCATTCAAGACCATGTTGCAAAAATGAATACACCCCGGTTAAAGACTCAAAAGCAAAGCTAAATTTTAGACAACAAAATCCTAATTAACAAGAATTCAACTACAGTTGTCTAATTATTCATTAAACCGGTATCCAGCAGACAGTTTATTATAAAAGGGTGTTACTTAACAAAGAAAACCCTTTCTCATTGCATTCTGTCCACAGTGGCACACATGGAAGAGAAATGTCACAAGGCCTGACAAAGAAAATAGTTTCTTTACACATGAAAGGCGAAGGCTACAAGAAGATCAGCAATGCTTTACTTTTAGTAGTTTTACTAGTCAGAATACTGTAGCAAAAGTGATACAAAAATTTAACAAAGATGGCACTTGAACCATCTCAGATGTCTAGGCTGTGCACGGAAGGTAACACCTCAACAGGAGCATCTTCTGATGAAAAGGGTTGAAGAAAATCGCTATTCAAGTTCACAATACGGCATACACTTCAGAGGAATGGCACGCCCATGCACAAAAAAGCCAGCTTAGAATTTGCCAGGGCCCAGGCTGAAAAAGAATACTACTGGGCCTCTGTACTCTGGAGTGATGAGACCAAAATAAATGTTTTTGGAACTGATGGATTTAAAACTGTATGGTGTCATAAAGATGAGGAGTACAAATAAAAATGCATGGCGCCTACAGTGAAACGTGGTGGCAGTGTCGTTCTGAGGGGCCGCATGATTACTGCTGGTGTTTTGGAGCTGCATTGATGGTATCATGAATTCACAGATGCACTGCTCTATATTGAGAGAAGATTCTACCATTGTTCTGTGCCCTTGGTCATCGTGAACTTTTCCAACATGACAATGATCCAAAAACACACATCTAAGGCCACTGTTGCATTTCTGAAGAACAGGGTGAAAGTGATTCAGTGGCCAAGTATGTCTCCTGATCTGAACCCAATCGAACACCTATGGGGAATTCTGAAGAGACAAGTTGCTCATGACTTTCCATCCAGCATCCAGACTCTAAAAGAGGTCGTTCTTGAAGAATGGAAAAAAGATAGATGTTGCAATATGTCGCCAACTTCTTCATTCCATGCCTAGAAGACTTGGTGCTGTCCTTACAAATCATGGAGGTCATACAAAATACTAGATGTAGTTTTTGTTGTGGGTGTATTCGTTTTTTTCATCAACTAATTTGAGTAAAACTGAAGATTTTGTAATCTAAGTTATATTATTAACCTTACTTTCATGTAATAAGCTAAACAAAGGTTCTATAAAACACAGTTTTGTCAAAATTTTGTTAATTGTTCTTGTGTTCATTAAGATATTGCCAAAAGTATTGGGATACCCCTCCAAATAATTGGATTCAGGTGAAAGAATGGGTCTCTCTCAGGAGCTCAGTGAATTCAAGCTTGGTACTTTGATAGGTTGCCACCTTTGCAATAAGTCCATCTGTGAAATTTCCTTGCTTTTAAATATTCCATGGTCAAATGTTAGTGGTAGTATAACTAAGTGGAAGCAACTGGTAATGAGCAACTACGGTGCGAAGTGGTAGGCCACGTAAAATGACAGAGCAGGGTCAGTGCATGCAGAAGCACAGAAGTTGCCAACTGTCTGCAGAGTCAATAGCTGAAGACCTCCAAACTTCGTGTGGCCTTCAAAGTAGCACAAACGTGCGTAGAGAGCTTCATGGAATGGGCTTCCATGTCCGAGGAGCTGCATCCAAGCCTTACATCGCCAAGTGCAAGTCAAAGCATTGGATGCAGTGGTGTAAAGCACGCCGCCACTGGACTCTAGAGCAGTGGAGAAGTGTTCTCTGGAGTGGTGACTCATGCTTCTCTGTCTGGCAATCCGATGGATGTGTCTACGTTTGGCGATTGCCAGGAGAACAGTACTTGCCTGACTGCATTGTTCCAAGTGTAAAGTTTGGTGGAGGGGAGACTATGGTGTGGTGTTGTTTTGTTGGGGTTGGGCTTGGACTTGGCCCCATAGTTCCAATGAAGGGAACTCTTAAGGCGTCAGCATACCAAGACATTTGGGACAATTTTATGCTCCCAACTTTGTGTGAACAGTTTGAGGATTGCCGCTTTCTGTTCCAACATGACTGTGCACCAGTGCACAAAGCTAGGTCCATAAAGACCTGGATGAGCGACTTTGGGGTGGAGGAACTTGACTGGCCTGCACAGAGTCCTGACCTCAACCCAATAGAACACCTTTGGGATGAATTAGAGCGGAGACTGTGAGCCAGGCCTTCTCATTCGACATCAGTGCTTGACCTCACAAATGCTCTTCTGGAAGAATGGTCAAACATTCCCATAGACACACTCCTAAACCTTGTGGACATCCTTCCCAGAAGAGTCAAAGCTGTTATAGCTGCAAAGGGTAGGCCAACTCAGTATTGAACCCTATGGACTAAGACTGGGATGCCATTAAAGCTCATGTGCGTGTATAGTATAGGCAGGCATCGTGTGTATACATATAATTTTTTTTTTGTATTCTCATGTTCTGCTTTTGACTACATTGTTTTGTTATCATTAGGGACATGAAAAGGAGGCACTACAGCTTATGGCTACTTATTTGCCAAAGGATACATCACCTGGCTCGGCATACCAGGAAGGGGGGGGCTTATACGCTTTGGGACTTATTCATGCCAATCATGGAGGTGACATAATAGACTATCTACTTAACCAGTTGAAGAATGCAAGCAATGATGTAAGTTTTTCTGACCTGTAACTGAATGTTGCCAAATAATTTTAGACAGGCATGCTCAGTTTTTGTAAGCATTATTGTAGTAGAGAAATCTAATTTTAAAGGTGCACTTCAGCCAATGTAAAAGAAGTCTTTAGATACATAGATATAGGGATGCAGTTTTTTTTCCCTCTAAATTAAGTTTACTGTACAGCTACTCACACTACTGCTTGAAAATGACTTTGTTGCTGATTATCTTGTATTCCAATATTCTTAGTTCCTGAGCCTGCTAATCTACAGTTGTGTCCTTTTTTTCAGCCCATATTATGTTTTCTGCAGTCACTCTTAAACTGGACATAGAGGATTATTTTTCTTTTCATTCAGTAAAAAAATGAACAGATTCTTCCATCCACACAAAGGAGGCATCCCCTGCTGGGACATTGTATTCTGACAGTGGAACTCTCTCCTTTCACAGTAGGCTGATTAGTGGCTGCAGCCACTGATCAACAAAAGTTTTCAAAATTCCTGGTAGACAGAAGTCGATTTTATGACCTACTTCTGAACAGGAACAGCTGGTCCATGCTTAACTCTTCAAACGATCTATGGCTAGCTTCAGAAATAGAGAGGCAAGTTGTGCTGCAGGGAAGTGAGTTGCAAACGTTTTTTTACTGTTATTCATTTTGGAAGCTCTGTGGATTACGTATAATTATGGTCTCCTACAGTCTTTTAGACTAGTGAGAGTTGCAGTGGTTTTGGGGTAGTACTTGCAGTGCACTAAATAATCAGTGTAGATCTGTGCACTGTTCATTGGTGTGTTCTTACATCAATATGTTGACTATGCTGTCTTTTTTTGCTGGAATGCTTTCTACCATAAGACAGTTGTCAGTTACCAAGATATTGCTGGGAAATGATTAGAGTGGAGGCTGATCTGTTTAATTGGCAGTTTATTATATGACAAAGCAGTGTATTGAGACCATTGCTTTGCCACTGGGTCTGTATACATTTGCTGATTCTTTTAAGCTAACCATACACTATACAATCTGATTGCGCAGTCTCCTTTAAATCACTATGCATAAAAGAATCTACCTGATTTAATACTATTTGTTTAGGTTTGCACTTTTATAACTTAGTTTTGGTCAATCTAAAAGGAGAATGCAAATTCTGATTTATCACAAACACTGCTCCTTTGAGCGGACGTGATGATGTCAGCACTAGCTCTGCTCTGCACATTTCTTCATAATGGATGTCATCTGGGGGCTGGTGACCCACTTTTCCTTTCATCAATAAATTGTGGTTTGTGATATTACTACACTATGGTGGCCCTGTGTTTTTTTTTCTCTGTATGTCTGCTGCTCTTAAGAGGTTTATTGAGAATATGGGCTGCAGAAGGCTGTACTTTACAATACTTTGTATATTCTACCCTGCTGTATGCTGTACACTGCTGTAGGTGATATATTTTGTACTTTTCATTTATTTGCACTATCTTGCATGATGTTCTGAAGGTGATATGATGTTCTGGGTGTGCCAATTTGGGATATTTATATATTCCTTAGCTAAAACATTGGTGTTCTGTGGGGTTGGTGTGTATTACGGTATCTTTAGGCAAAACCACCTTCTTTTTTTTTTTTTTTTTTAAATTATTGACAGGAAAAGTCTTAGACCTGGCAGTTTTCTATTGCTTTCTGAATCACCACACTTGTTTTTAGGGACAACTGTCTAAGACATGAATTCCCCTTGCTTTATCCAAAACTAAATAAATAGTTTTAGCTATACTTACCCTAAAGGATAGGATCACCCTTTGGAACATGTTCTCCTTTTTAGGTTGTAACATGTTCCCAGACCTGCAGCCGTTCCACTATCTGAGCCCTCCTGTTGACATCAGGCAGGGAATCTTCTCCCTGTTAAAAATAGAAAAATTAAGGGGCTTATAGAATAACATGTATCGCTAAATGTACATTATGTGCCAAGTAACCAAAACACCATACAACAAAAAGGAGCGTGAAAAGAGATTCACAGAAAAGCAGTTACATATTGGACAGAATGCGATACTCAGAAGTAATTAAAAAAATTATGCTTTATTACACACAATACACAGTTGGACATATAAGGTAAATACCTCAGTTCACCATCTCTCAGGATGAGATAATACATCAAAATTGACCTAAAATCACTTAAAAACAGACGTCCTGACCGGTCAATGTTATGGAGTGCTGCAGATATAGTGACATAGGTCTAATACAGTGTTTCTCAACTCCAGTCCTCATGGACCCCCAACAGGTCATGTTTTCAGGATTTCCCTCAGATGAAACAGCTGTGGTAATTACTAAGGTAGTGAAACTGATCAAATCACCTGTGCAAAATAATGGAAATCCTGAAAACATGACCTGTTGGGGGTCCATGAGGACTGGAATTGAGAAACACTGGTCTAATACAAGTGCAGCACTGACACAATGGTTACACTGCCAAACGGGGTGTTTCAAAAAATTGTACCAATTATGGCATTACAAGCATTGCAGTATATGGCTGATAAATGCACCAGGTAGCGGATATATTGCCCAATAAACCTTAACAGGTATTATTATTATTATACAGTATTTATATAGCGCCAACAGTTTGCTCAGCGCTGTACATTACAATGGGAGACAGTACACGAGACAATACAGTAACAATACAATTCGATACACGAGGGGTTCGAGGGCCCTGCTCCTTGGAGCTTACAATCTAGGAGGGAGGGGATAGTGGTACAGGAGGAAATAACTGTGGGGGATGGAGTGGTAGGAAGAGTGGGGGAGATCGGCAATTAGCTGAGGGCGGGGTAGGCTTCCCTGAAGAGATGGGTTTTCAGGGTGCGCCTAAAGGAGAAGAGAGTGGGTGATAGTCTGATGGATTGGGGTAGGGAGTTCCAGAGGATGGGGGAAGTCCTGGAGACGGGCATGGGAGGAGGAGACCAGGGAACTAGAGAGTAGGAGGTACGTTTTGGGTGGTATTTGGATATCAGGTTGGTGATGTAGTTTGGGGCAGTGTTATGGATAGCTTTGTACATCAGTGTAAGCATTTTGAATTTTATTCGTTGGGCAATCGGAAGCCAGTGGAGGGATTGGCAGAGAGGGGTGGCGGATACGGAGCGGTTAGTAAGGTGGATGAGTCTGGCCGCAGTGGTCAGGATAGACTGAAGCGGGGATAACCTGTGGTGAGGAGGGAGTTACAATAGTCAAGTCGTGATATAAGGGAGTGAATGAGTTGCTTAGTAGTTTCCGGAGTTAGGAACGGACGTATTTTGGAGATGTTGCGGAGGTGGAGTCTACATGAGTTTGTCAGTGATTGGACCTGGGGCTGGAAGGACAGATTGGAGTCTAGGATGACACCTAGTACTCTGGCTTGCGGGGTGGGACTGATGGTGGCATTGTTGGTAGTGATGGAGAAGTCGGGCGGGGAGGGGGGGGGCGCGGGCTGGGGGTTAAACTAGGAGCTCTGTCTTGGAAAGGTTTAATTTGAGGAAGTGGAGTGACATCCAATCCGATATGTCGATCAGTAGGCTAGTGATCAGGGCGGAGACGGACGGGGTGAGGCGAGGGGTAGAGCGATAGATTTGCGTGTCATCGGCATAGAGATGGTAGTTGAAGCCATGAGAGTGTATCAGTTGGCCAAGGGAGGAGGTGTAGATAGAGAAGAGGCCCGAGGAGAGAACCTTGGGGGACCCCAACAGAGAGGGGGAGTGAAGGGTAGGTGGCAGCGTTATAGGTAACACTGAAGGAGCGCTATTATAGATAGGAAGAGAGCCAGGAGAGAGCGGAGTCTCTGAGGCCAAGAGAGTGTAGTTTTTTGAGGAGGAGGGGGTGGTCAACCATGTCAAAAGCCACGGAGAGGTTGAGGAGTAGGAACACTGAATAGTCGCCATTAGCTTTGGTGGTTAGCAGGTCATTGGTGAGTTTGAGTAGGGCAGTTTTGGTGGAGTGCAGGGGACGGAAACCAGACTGTAAGGGGTCAAGGATGTTGTTGTCAGTGAGGTGGGAACTCAGGCAATTATTGACTAAGCGCTCGAGGAGTTTGGATGTAAATGGGAGCAGGGAGATGGGTCTAAGGTTGTTCAGGTCGGTGGGATCCAGGGAGGGTTTTTTAAGTATGATGAGGGCGTGATGTGCGTGTGCTTCAGAGGGGAGGGGAATGCGCCAGTAGAGAGGGAGAGATTAAAGATGTGAGTGAGGGAGCGTAGGATGGAGGAGGAGGGTGACCGCAGGAGTTGTGAGGGGACGGTCAAGGGGGCAGGTGGTGAGGCAGGCTTCAGAGAAGACCTTAGTGACCTCTTCAGTGGTAGCAAGGTTGAAGGAGTGGAGTGTTGAGGGGGTTATCGTGTGAGGGATACTAGGTGGGGTGGAAGTCTGAGCAGTGGGGATGTCCCTACGAATTGCGTCAATCTTGTTTTTGAAGTGGTTGGCAATCTCGTGGGCGGTGAGTGAGGTACTGGGTGGAGGTGGGGGCGGAGAGAGTAGAGCGTTAAAAGTAGAGAAGAGCCGGCGAGGGCTGGAGGAGAGGGTATTGATGAGGGTCACAAAGTAAGCTTGCTTGGCAGCGTGGAGGGAGGAAGTGTAGGTGAGGAATGCAGATTTGTAACGGGTGAACGCTTGAGGTATATATGAACTGTAGAACATATTGGTGTATAAAGACAATCTGCCTCCACAGCCACTAACTGGGTAGTGACCAGAATAGATAGTAGTTACGGTAGGTAAATATAGCAGGAGTAAGTGGTGGGTTCTCAAACAGCAGCAGTCATGTCCATATTACTAAACAGAATAAACTTGATAACCGTAGTAAAATGTGCTGCACATCACTCACCACCCGTGTCTTAGGTTGATACTCTTTCCATCATAGGGATAACCGCCCATGGTCCTGGAGGCAGCTGCCACCATCTGAACTACAGATGAACGGGCTCCACTCCCCTCCCGGTGCTTGTACAGCCTGACACCGCTCGTGGGCTAACATGTATTGCCGCCTCCCCTGGAGGACTGCGTGTGTGGCGCCAATGTGTCCGGCCCGGAAGTGACGTATCTGACCTATGACGTCAACCGCGTTTCGCCAACGGGTGTATCTCACTCAGCTTCATCAGGACCAATGAGATGCCTACCTTACTTGCATTACTCATCAAAAGGCCTGTTACCACCCATATATGTAAATCACCTGGTGGCAATTAAGCTGAATAGGAAAAAGAACTAAAATAACAAGCAAATAACTGGTCATATAACACAAATAAATATACACAATGGGAAGAGAAATGTTCTTGCATTCCTACAATGTCATATTGATGGGCTTCTGATTAGCTATCCTCAACATCCACAAATGGACAGGGAACAAATTTACACTGAAAATCTTCTTATTTTTGCAAAAATACTTGAAGGTCAAATTCAACATTTAACCCTTTAGGGGATAAAGTATCAAGTTTATATATCCAATGTTTTTTCACGTTTTAAAAGTTCTGTCAAAGTCACCTCTCTGCAGGAAATTAAGTGCATAGATTCCTTTGACCTCAGTGCCCTCTAGTTTACCACCATGGTATTTAACATAATGTTGAGCTAAATTTCTCTCAGGATCATTCGATTTAATATCTCTAAAGTGTTCACCTCTATTCGCACTTTGAGCTGCCTCTTAGTTTTAACAATATACATTTTTTTACATGGACATGTCAACATATATAATACTCTAGAAGTAGAGCAATTTGTAAGGCTTTGAATTTTAAAATGGGCGTTATTTTTTGAATTAGAGAACCTATCAGTACGATCTACAAATTTACAGATCTGGCATGTACCTGCTGTCAGTATTTGAAAACAGTGCAGGTCGTGTCATTCATTCACAGAGTTCTGTGAATGAATGAACTACAAGTACTGACATCCTCTGTGGCTGTTGACTTGTAGTTCTCAATGAACTACCAGGGCGCTGTTGAGTGCCATGGTAGTTAATTGATTCTTCTTGTGTCTGTGAAACTGCTTGCCCATATGATATGTGGGCAGAACGTTTATTGTAGGAGTCCTGTGTTGCACCTGCGATCTGCTGATCGCAAGTACAATGCTTTTCAGGCTCTTACAAAAAATAATAGTAAATGCATATTTTTTACCTGCAAAAAATGTGCATTTATTAGGTTTTTTTATTTATTTTTTTTTTTTTTAAGAGAACTTATCCTTCAAAAGTACATCAGGACTCCAGCCTGTGCTTAGTTCACTATGTGCTGTAAGGGTGACATGGCTGTAGCTTATGGGGTGAGTGAGGACAAACAGACTTCTGGAATCCTGGGGAGTAATAAACAGCCCTTATGCCCTGCAAAATGAAATGTTGGGGTTTTGTTGCCCAACTGGGCTTTTAATTATACAAAATCAAAACTGAATGTGTACCATCTGCATCCACTGTATTGGTGATGCCCCCCAGCTTTGTGAAACCATGCGGGTCAGTGTATACTTCTGCTAATTGGGGGTTAATTCTCATCTTTGCAAATGCTTTTTAATTTTTAATTTATCCCTAAATGTGAATAGAAGACTGAGATCATCTTATAGAAGTACAGTACATACATATTAGTAAATGGGCAAATGGGCAAATTTTCTTATTACTTGTTTTTTTTTTTTTTTTTCCCTCTTCACTCGCTTTTTTTTTTTTTTTTGTTAATATTAATAAAGGTTGCTAATCTTCCTCTACACACCTTTTTGTCTTGAAGATTGTCCGGCACGGTGGCTGTCTAGGGTTGGGTTTGGCTGCAATGGGCACTGCACGGCAAGATGTCTATGATCTTCTCAAAACAAACTTGTACCAAGATGATGCAGTGACAGGTGAGAGAAGGGCCCTGCCCTGTTTACACCGTTTTTACCTTTTTTTTTCTCTCTCATATCTGGTACTATTTCACAGTTCATGCAGTTTTTTTTTTTCTTTACATAGCACTTGCTGTTTGATATATTTATAACAACAAAAAAAGAAAACTTTCTAGTAAGAATGTGTGAAATTACGTTTCTTTGGCTATTAGGGGAGGCTGCAGGCCTGGCACTTGGCTTGGTGATGCTTGGGTCTAAGAATGCCCAGGCCATTGAAGACATGGTTGGATATGCCCAGGAGACACAACATGAAAAAATCCTGCGAGGGCTGGCTGTAGGCATTGCCCTGGTTATGTATGGCCGTATGGAGGAAGCTGATGCTTTGATTGAGAGTCTTTGCAGGACAAGGTAAGAAATGTGAAAGAACGCAATCCTCGGTTTGCCCAGCGCAAATTGTTTTTTTGTTTGTCTTTAACCACCTGCCGTCCAGAGAATTTACCCAGCTTCCTGACCAGGCCATTTTTTGTGATACGGCACTGCATTACTTTCTTTTGGTGGTAATTGATTGCCTGTGCTTTTTATTTTTTTTGCACTATAAACAAGAAAAGACTGACAATTTTTGAGAAAAAAAAAACAATGTTTGTCTTTTGCTATTAAACATGTCCCAGTAAAAAAAATGTAAATCAAATTTTGTCATAAATTTAATCCAAAATATATTCTGCTACATGTCTTTGCCAAAAAAAAAAATCCCAATACCTATAAATTAATTGGTTTACGGTGAAATTATAGCATTTACAAATGGCGGTATATATACTGGAATTTTGGAATTTTTTTTTTTTTTTTTTTACTAGTAATGGCAGTGATCAGCGACTTATAGCGGGGACTGCTGCTGGCATTCTGACACTGGGGGGTAACTGACTTGGTGTCACTGACATTCCCAGTGATACCGGTGCAGTGATCAGTGCTAATAAAAAGCACTGACACTGTACTAATGGTACTGGGCAGGAAGGGGTTAACGTGGGGCGATCAAAGGGTTAACTGTGTGCTATTTTACTATGAGGCTGTGTTTCACTGTAATAGGGGTGTGTTGAAAATTTTTGAAAAACTACTTGTCCATCGACTAAATCGTTCTGTCCCAATCTACTTGTCTTGTATGACAATGTACTTGTCCTGATGGAATAAAAAATCAATTTAACCAAAACCGTATTTAAATCGGAGGTGATATTAGGAATGTCTGGGACTTTTAAAATCAAATGGGGCCCTATGGTGACTAGACGTTTTTTTTTACGCTGTATGTCTCCTCCTCCCCTACCTGCCTGTCTCCAGCACCGCACCCGCAGGGGAGAGACCGTGCAGTGTAATGAACACTGATTGGGTGCTTGTCAGGGGAAAAGGAGTGTCAGGCTCATCCTTTATCCTTTTTGATGCCAGAGCCATTTTTGTGTTTTTTGCACACTTTTAAAAAATAATTTTAGGCTTGAAGATTACACAAAATCCCCAAACATTATATTTTTTCTGAAGGCTCCAATTTTTTATGCCGCTAGATATCATTGCAAATACACTTAAATTAATTTAGAGCACAAAAAAGTACCTTATTTTTTTGTAAAATTAAAAGATGAGGTTGCACCGCATATATAGATATCAACTGTTCAACAAATTTTTATTTTTTGCCAGTTTTGGAAACAAAAGGATCCATTTCTTAATGAATTTCACATTCTGAGTTCAAATATAACAATGAAATTTGTCAATATCTAGTTTTTCTGTAAACGGAAAGTTTTCTACTATAGGCGTAATGACTACATAATGCACAATAATTATATAGAAAAATGTCTTTCCACAAATATAAAGCAAGTGATATTGACTACATAACAAAGCCTAAATGGCATAATATATTGCATAGGATCCAAGAAAAATTATAGCCATAAGCTAAGTTGAATCATTTTAATACTTAGGACTCACTAGTTTTGTCTTCAGTTGTGTCGGTTTTGCTTCTCTTGGCTTTTCTCTTGTATTCGAGGAAAGGGCTATCTCTTACAACCACGTGACTACACGTTCAGGTTCTTCCTCACTTGACTCAACCACGAAGGATTCTGTGCTTTAGGAATTGGTAGCCCCTCTCCATGAGGAACTGGACGTATTGCCGATGGAAATTTGGATAGTGCACAGATAACTTTTTCTTCTTATTTAGCCCTTTTACAATTGGAGGCATCATACAAAAGTAACAATTACTAACATGATCTGTTGGCTCTCTCCAAATCATTGGCACAGCGAAAGGCATAGATGCCTTTTTTCCATTCAACCATTGCTCCAGTGCCGTCCCAAAGAATTGCAGAGCATATATGTGGTGCCCAGCTCTTGTCCTGGTCTCCTATCTTGCAGCCAAAATACAAGTTGTAGGCTTTCTTAATCATTCCTGTTATCCTCCTTTTTTGTGAGATAAAAGTTATTTCACTGCAGATATAGCAGAAATTATCTGCTTTATTCACACAAGTTCGAGGCATTACTGAGTAGCCTATATAAGCATTAAAAAAATGTAAAGACGCTGTCGAACTACAATCAGCTACAGATACTGCAGCTTTTATGCCCAGTGAAGTGATGCAATTAAAGGCTAATATTGCATCATCTCAGTATACATGCAATTTTTATTGGTCACCAGTATCAATTGCGCAATATGCAGCTGAAGTTGCATCATAATTTTGAATGGCTTACGTCATTAGATGGGTGAATATATCATGGAAACTAGAGCCAATCAACATTTTTTTAGGGTCATTTTTGTTTTCAGCACCCCAAAATTATGTAAGATTAGCTAATTTTATGCCCAAAACTTTTTACCTGTTGAACAGTGTATCCAGCATGTCAAGCCTTAAATTTGCGTGCACTCGTGAAATGGCAACAAACTTCAGTACCCTATATTTTCTATAGGCGACCCTTTTGAAGCCCTTTTTAAGTCATTTAGTATAGTGTTACGGAGGATGTCTCATGCTAGAATTATTGCTCTCATTCTGGCATGCGTGGCGTTATCTAACATGTATCGCAATGAACATTTTCATGTGTAGGTGCCCCAGCGTGCACTTTTACTTTTGTAAGTGTGTATAAGCGTGGGGGGCTTTTTTTTTTTTTTTTTTTTTTGTGGGGATGTTGTGCTTGGGTGCACTATGATATATTTTTTTTTTTTTTTACTATTTAAAACTTTTTTTTTTACCTTTTTTATTTTCATCGCATAGGGAACAAAAAGTTCCCTATGTGATGATTTTTTGATGAAAGGTTCTCTTTAATGAGACATCCAGGGTCTAAAAGACCCTGCATGTCTCGCCTGTGCTCCCCTGAATGTAATATGCACTGTACATCACACTGCATTACATTCTTTCCCAGCCTCAATGGCCGGGAATCTGTGAACGGGGATGTCCCTTCCGGGTCAGGACAAGAAGGGGAGGGGAGGCCGGCACCATGGTGGACAGTGTGAAAGCAATCAGGCGGCAATGCTGCCGTCCGAATGCTTTCACCTGATAGGTGAGCCCTGCTGCTTGCCCGTTGAATGTTGAAAAAAGCTACCTGCCCGACGCCTGGGACTACGTTGGGCAATACAAATTCAGCATCCCTGCTGTAAGCACACTGCTATGCAGAGCCATACAAAGCAGTGTGCAGGAGCTGACAGGGGAGAGATCTGTGTTGTTTATACACAGGTTTCTCCCCTGTCAGAGATACTTGGTGATTACCGGGTGCCGACGAGAAATCACTGGGCGGGACCCGGTGATTGGCAGCCGAGGGTGCGTTTGCGCTCCCCCTACCAGGAACTGCAAACTCACGTATATATGCATGATTTTGCGCACCCGTGCCGCCCAGTAGCAGTATTTCTGCTATAGTGGAGAAACGGTGGTAAACCTTAATTTATTAAAATGCCTTCCTTTAAGATTGAATTTGTTATCCTCACAAGTTGCATTATTTTTTTTTAAACTAACTATACTTGAAAAAATTTAAATAGTGCTTAATGTATTAACGCTTAAAAAGAAAAGAAAAAAAACCTTTCTTGTATTTTGCTTTCTCGCAACATCCTTCTCGAGTATTTGGCTTGTGCTCATTTCTGTAGAATTTATAGGGCATGTCTGTTTTTTACCTCCCTGCAGCAGACATCTCTGGTTTCTAAGCCGTCGCACTGTGGAGCAATAGCTGGCAACATTCAAACATTCATTGAAGTGTGAGCTGAGTAAAGCAAAATAAATAGTAAAGTTCAATCCCAATACAAAAACACAAGCTTTGAAATTATTGTGCAAAACCTCCCACAAATTACTGTCCATTGAAGAATTTCATGCTGTACAGCCCGTATTGTAGAGCTGAAATATGGGTGTTTTTACAAAGGAAATTGTTCCCTTATCTTCCGTTTTTTTTCTTCCTAGGACCCAATCTTACGTCGCTCTGGCATGTACACCGTGGCTATGGCGTATTGTGGATCAGGAAATAATAAAGCTATTCGTCGCTTGCTCCATGTTGCTGTAAGTGTGTTGCATATAAGAAACGATTACTGTTATATGTATACGGTCTAGATTATTTATTTTAGTTACAGGTTGGGTTACCTATGTGCATTAGAATTCTTTTGCTTACAAAATTAGGGGAATTTAGGGTTCATACGCAAGGTTGGAAGTGTGCCATGAAAGAAACGGTGCCAATCCCAATGTTTACTTTTTTTTTTTTTTTAATTGGAATTTTATTGAAATGTCAATTGTACCATTTTATTTAGTTCCATTTTGTTGTGTGGCCTTGCAATATGGTAGTTTTTGTTGCATGCAGTTCTTTATTGCCAGGGAACACCACGCAGTGGTGTCAACTGATTCCATGGAAAAAAAAAAAGCTTAATTGCCTTGTTTTTATATTGCAACTATATTGCACACCACAGTCCTTCATAAATGGTGTAAACAGGCTTTCAGAATGGAAATTAATGTGTGAACCCTGGACTACTGCAAAATTACTTGTTTGTTGTATAGCAATAAGGATCACTTTTGACATGTTTCACAATAAGATGCACTTTTTTGCTTTTTGAAAATGTGACAACCCTGCTGCTATTTAGTAAACAAGAAACGTTGCTGCAGCCCATTGAATATCTCAGATGAGCACCCGTGGGTTTTGCAGTGAGTCACTGACTATAAACGGTATGCATATCGTCCTGCAAACCATTTTTGTTGAGGAGTATTGACCATGGGTACCTTTGCTTTGTTATGAAGTCCTTGGCAGCTTTTATTGTGTATGTTGAAGAGAATGAAGACAAAGTACTTGTTTGGAAACCAGTTCAGTCCGATTACATTTGCCATTACTTCCTAGCTGAAGGAATTTTCCAGATTGCTCATAAAAGTAGAAAACTTAAATACAGCAGCCTTTTATTATGATTCCTTTGTTGCAATACCTAAATTCATGCTCTAGTCATTGGGTAGTTCTTATTTTTTGGATATTTTAATAAAATTTTAAAGGAGAAACAACTCCTGGTTTTTCAGTTACAGTAGAATTACTGGATGTACACTAGTAATACTAAGTTAAAATTACAATTTATATGTAATATCTACTTTGAATTACAATCTATTTTAAAATATTGTTCAATTATTATTTTAGATAAATGAACAATGTAATTTTTTAATTATGATCACCATGTTTGACTTGGCTTTGGCTGCAGAGGATTTTTGTGTATGGCTGAGCTCCTTCCTGCATTTCATTTAAAATGAAGAGAATCAGAACACTGTGTGAAATATAATGGATGAATGTGTGCTATGTGCATATGAAAATATTAAGCTGTGTATGTGTGGAAGGCCTTGTTGAGGACCCTCTGTACTGTTAAATGCAGTGAAGAAGTTTCAGATGTTGAAACATTCCAGAGATTGTCAGCTTAAGTGTTCTAGGTAGATCTGAGGATAAGTGATTAATGTCAGTTTATAGTATGGTAAAACTATCCATCTTTTTAACTTAATTTTGGTTTTCTTTTAATTCCAGGTCAGTGATGTAAATGATGATGTAAGGAGGGCAGCTGTGGAGTCTCTTGGCTTCATTCTGTTCAGGTCAGTAGTTTCTCTATTTTTCTCTCTGGTTAGTCACCTCTTTGCCCATCTGACAGAATAATTTTGTATTTCAGATTCTTAAGTGTAACATTTTGTACATGTAGTGATAAAAAACAGGTGCGCTGTTTATAAAAAGAAATTTGAGTATACTTGGAACAAAGGGTTTTGTTGCCCATAGTAACAACTACATTTCTCTTTTGGGAGAAATGATGCATATAATCTAATTGGTCAAAAGAGAAAATTGTTTCTGTTGTTTTTTTTTTTTGTCAGTTGTTTTATAAACGATCCCCAATAGCAGTCACCTAATCTAGTGTTTTTTGACTGTTGAGTTGTTCGTTTAAGAGCACCTTTCTAACCTACATATTTCAGTAAGGTTGTAATGACACAATGCATGGCAAATGTTTGCAATCCAATGCTATTTTATGAGAGAATCAATCCTCAATATAACCAAAAATCTAAGACTTCCATTTTGGGAATGGGGTTTATGCCGCAGACACAACCCCCCCGTTTCCCCGTTTCCCTCTCTCACCGCCTCTGTGGCCTGCTCAGGGATGGCATTATTGGGTCCCTTCAGGGAGCTGCTACCAAAGACACACAAGGTCTCACCTTCCACCTAAGTTCCTCTACCCACTCCCCAGCACTCTCATCTTAAGAACGCTTCTCCCTTGTAGAAAATTGCTAACCGCAGCAGTGGCCAGTACCCCACAGCAGCCAGTCCTTGGGCTTCCAAGCTGAAGCTACAGTTACTACTGATGGCCCTGCTGTCTATTCTAATTGCAGCACCGTCCCTTATAGGGGCTGAAGTTGAAACCAGCCCCCTGGTGTATGTAGCCTATTTCCTCTTTGATCTGAGAAATTAGCAGCCACATCTATTGGAATACTGCCCCTGGTCACTTTAGGCCCACAGCAGTTTGCATGTGTTAGCAGACCTGAGGACTGGTGCTAGTACGTGCCCTTGTCTGGAGTCTCCTGACACCCTCCTCTCTGTGACTCCACTACCCTGTCCTGCATGGGAGTTGCTGATCAAGACTGAGCAAGTGTCACCAAACCATGACCTTTTAACACTCCTCTCCCCCTCCAGTACTATGGTAGTACTGTGCTTCCACCCCTCCAACCCCAGCACCCCCACTGTATCTTAACACCTCTCCCCCCTTCCTTTTACATCATGCGTTTCCATGCATGATACCATAAATAAAGTACGTTATCTTTTACATTATTTTGTCATATTCAGCCTTCCTTCTAGTATGCACAGATTTCTCTAGTTGATCTTTCAAGTAATCACTACAATAGAAAACACTGCAGTTTGCTGCAGACTTCTATGACTACTTATGATCACAGAATGTTCCTTGTTTTGCTTGTTGAACTAAATGCAATGAATTAAATCATCAAAAACTGAGAATGATGTTAAAAAACTGTGTATTCTATCAATGTGTGTACATCTTTCACATAGCAAAAAACAAACAAACTATACATTGTGTGGGAGTAGTATGAGTGAGAGAAAGGTGAGTGTAGTTTAGTCTGTAGATACCTTTTTATGTGGGGTTCTTGCAGTTATTCTGTTTTGTGTGGAGTTGTAAGCTGCAGCTAAGCTGTGAATGCTCAGAGAGTGTGTACCGCCTGGAACAAGCTCCGTATTGACTGAACTTGCTGACGGGAAGCTAGTGTTTATACAGCCGGTGACAGCTCTCCTGGGATGAGATACAGGCAGGACTTGGAATCGTATACAGCCAGTCTTGTTAATGGTGCATTTAGGCTACGTGTAACTCTTTAATTGCCAGTTATGGGCTGTGGCTGAAGACATTTTTTTTAATATTGTAAGATGGGCAGGCTGAACTGATAAGAGCAGTGGTAAATCATACACTAGAGCAGGACACCCAGATTCGAAGCAGATTAAGCAGTTTTATCCTGCACTTGTATTCACCAAGGCAGCAAATAAACACACATCAATACAGGAGGCCTCGTATAGCAAAGTCCATAGCATATAACAAAACCTCTGCTTACTGACTAACAGAGTGCCCCCTAATATGTTCCTCAAAGCAGGCAGCACACGTACCTTTTTATTTTAGTGTTCTGTCAGCCTTTTCATGCAGCATTAGGTGCTCAGAGCAGAAAGCATGAGAAAGTCTGCTGCTGAGTGAAAAGGCTGAATGCTGACAGAACACTAAAAGGTAACGGAGAACTACGTTGAGTGTGCAATGTTTTTTCCATATATTTTCTTCATAAGGAGATGCTTTGCACCCTCTGGACTTATATTACTATACCAGTGTATATAAAATAAGCAGTATTATACATACGTACAAACAGTGCGCACACACGATCAGTGTTATCAGTTTCCTGTCTTTAGAGCTTTTTTATATTTATATAAAGCAGAACTAACTTTTTTCAATTAATACCCTCTGAAATTGGTGTTCTTTGTGACATCTTGTCCTAAGCTCTGCCTGTCGAACAGTCCAGAGATCGTAGTTTTTCAACACTTGGCGTGTCATTGTGTTCATATGTTAGCATAAGGGTCTGAGACCATTTCTGTACAAAATGTGGCTCCTCCCAGTCCTTCCCTGTGTTTTCTCTTCTCCATTGTTTACAGCTGAGCTTTTTATATTAACAAGTGGCTACAACTGTGGGGTTTAGAGTGTGATAAAACTGCCCTGTTACGTGCCTGGTTCCTGGCAAAGAACATAAAATAAATTGTTCCTACAGAAAATGTCCTGCTAGGGACTGATTACATCAGATTCCTCAGATGGCAGCAACCACTCCCCCTATTGCACATGGCTAATATATAAAATGGGGATAATGCAAAATGTTTTTTATGCATGCACCCTTTTGATTTTAGAGTGTTTGCAGTAAACTAGAGCAGCCTTTTTCAACCAGGGAACCCAGGCACCCTGAGGTGCTTTCAGGTTTATTCAAGGGTGTCTTAGCAAAATGTCTAAAAATTGTCATAAATTGTATACAAGCCAGTGAGGGGATCAAACCTGATTTTTTACTTACACAAAGCCAAAGGCTTTCATTTTACACCATTAAAATCTTTCTTGCTGCTGGTGTCCTTACAGTCAGAGATGTCATCAGTTGACAAGGACATCAGGCACATGCACAGCATCCTTGTTTGCCCCACCCCATCAACACTGGGGTCATAATAGCTGAGTGAGGGAGAGAAACACTGGAGTGCTAGTCAGTACCAGTGTGTGAAGGTGTACTTGTTTTGGAAGAGTAAAACAAGCCATAGATTAATCTGTTTTCTTTCCTGCTACAAGGGAATAGAAGGAAATAATATTGCTTGCTTCTCCTATGTTGATGAGGGGAATGCCTCTCACAGGGTGTGTAAGGCGCTTTCCCTGTCGGCAGAATACGATGATTACTGCTAGCGGGTATAGCCGCTGGCAGTAATTGCATGCAGAAGAGTTTGACAGACTAGTTGTATCAATCGACTTGTGCATAATTTTACAGGGTGCCTTGACTAAAAAAAAAGGCTGAGAAACACTGAGCTAGAGTACCTTTCTTTCTATGCATAATAGGAAGCTCATAAAAATACGTGAAGAACCAAATATAGCTACAGGGACTACACTAGTCACTTAGAACAGATCTTCAGAGGAATACTAATGACATCGTACAGAGAAATCCTGTGTATACACAACTGTCTTGTAGTACAAAGCTTTGTGTTTATGTCTGCTTTATGCACAAGTTATTTCTGAGTAAAAGAAAATCTGTTTAACCGCTTCCTGACCACCCGCCTCAAATGTACTGCAGCAGTGCGGCAGCTACAGGCAAAGCGACTTACCCGTACGTCGCTCTGGCTGTACTAACACAGGGGGGCACCCCCCTCGCGACTGCTGTGTCCAGCTGAATGAAGATGTGAACGGGACCCAGTGATCATGTGATCTCTATGCGATCACATGTTTGCTATGTAAGCTAAGCTGTTATGAATCAATCTCATTCATTACAGCTCTGCTCCTTTTTCCTAGTGAGGTGTCATTGGCCCACAGCTGTCACATGATACATGGGGCCAAGCACTGCACCCTGTACCATGAGACCAGCTCCAGTCAATCACAGATCACTATCCTGAGCTGTCAAAACATAACTCATTCATGACAGTTCATGAATGAGTTCAGTCCTTACAGCAAGCTTTTCATTGCAGGAGAAATTATCTTTATTTCTCCTGCAAAGCAGTCTAAAAAATAACCCCCCCCCCCCACAGTAGTATAATCTTACTATGGTAACATTGTACTATTCTGATAAAAAGTATTAAAAAAATAAACCTCTTAAAGAAAAAAAAAACATATTGAGAATTCTTTTTTTTCTTATTCTTATTTTTTTTTTTAACTACTTGCCAATCGCTTGCCCGCATTTTGCGGGTGAGCAGCCACTCTTGGCAAAGCGACGTAATCTTGCATCGCTTCCTGTTGCGAGGTGTGAACGCACCTGCGCCCCCACCCGTCGGTTCAGGGAGAGAATTGAGAACACCGCACCGAGTAAAAGCACCACTATATTTTATACAAACACACGTTAGTTTAGCACATTTAACCCTTTGATCGCCCCTATTAACCCTTTGATCACCCTGTCACCTTACCAGAGCCATTAGTACAGTGTATGTCAGTAATATAGAATTTTTCACTGATCACTGCATTCCTGCCACTAGTGACATCAGATAATGTCAGGTTTAGTTAGTGCCCCACCCAGTCAGGGTTAGCTAGCGTTAGATTACACTATCACGCTCACGCTATAGGTTGCTGATCACCACCATTATTAGTATAGTGTTTGTACAGATCAAGATTTTGATCACATACAGGACTATACTAGTGCCTCCTTTGTATAGTGTCCCCAAATATGCAGTGTTAGCAGGATCAGCCCTGTTCGCTGCCAGCACTAGCAATTTAGCCCCTCCGCTGGTTTTCACGGAAGATTTGTATCAATTGATTGTGGGCCAAGGCAATTTATACGCTCAACAATACATTGCCGCCCACCCAAATTCAGCTATTTCCAGACCATTCGCATGGGCCTAACCCCCCAACATGGTCATTACAGAAAAGAATGAATTACGGTCATGTTGATCCACAGAGCCAATTC